CTGACTGACTCACTGTCTGTCTGACTAACTGACTCACTGTCTGACTGACTGACTCACTGTCTGTCTGACTGACTGGTTTACTGTTTGTCTGACTGACAGTCTGTCTGTCTATTTGGCTGCAGACATATTGTAAAAAAAAATTTATTTTCCTGTTTTTTTTCTGTTCTGGGAGAAAAAAATTCACACAAAGAAAAAAGGAAACGTTATGACGGGTACCTTTCCTGCCTCAAAAAGGAAATGCATCACATAGATTCTAAAATAAAATTATCATAACGATACGTTTTTGTTTGTTTGTTGTTGTAGGTTTTCATCGTATGCTAATTTAGCCTTTATGCTAACTTGGGACAATACGACTTAGCCCAGTTTATTAGCACTAAAAAAGATGACTTTGTCAGGGCTGGAGTATGACATCATTTCTAAAGTTTGATCATGACACACGTATCGTTCACTCATAATTGTGTACGAGCAGTGCACGAGTGAGTGTGTGAATGTTGTAAAGTGCTTTGCAGAACTTGGAATGTGCAAAAATGCTCTAAGATTGGACCAGTTACTGCCCAGCTCTGGTTTAAGGTTTGGTTCAGCTAATTCACCGTGCGTCTTTTGTGTGAGTGAAGCAGCTCAGCATGCTGATCCCAGTCAACAAACATTTTTAACTTCAAACTTTTGTTGATTTAAACAAAACAGAGCAACTAGTTATAAAAACGCTGTCAGTCGTGTCGTCAGCAAGCTCCATAAGTCAGCCAGTCGGTTGAATAAACAGCCGGTTAGTGATGACATCATACAGGCAGCGCTGTGGCGGGCTGTGAGAGCCAGCGTTAAGTGGTCACTGCCTGCTTTACTCTGTCACACTTTTCCAGTCTGCTAAAGCAGCTTTCTGCTGCACTGTGATGTTACCTGGCAACACTGCCTGCCTCCTCCAATCAGACAGACATCAGCCAGTCAGTTAGTCAGTCACACTCTTCTGATGGATCAGATGAAATATTAAAAGTCCCTGTATGTGTAGGAAGAATACACCGGTGCAGGACACAGCAAGGAAGAGGCGATATCATCAGTAAACTAGCACAGAACACAGACGGCTGGGCTTTAATATACCTGCATTTATAATAAAACAAAAAAATTAAAAACTATGTGCAAGCTAACAAAGCGAAAATCAAACCGTAGTTTCCTTTGGTTTATTAATTTTTGTTTGTTTCTGGATTTTCTTTGATTTGGAATGTAATGCAAGATTTTGGTTTTCATCCATCAAACCTTGTTATTGAGGTTTGCACATGACTCAAACATTCATCAACAAATAGAAGTCATCCTGCAGGTGTTTCTTCTTGTATTTTTACATGCAGAGCTGCGGCCCATTCAGAGCGCACAGTAAGATAAGATATAAGATAAGATAGACCTTTATTGATCTTGCAGGAAATTGTTGTGCCAGAGTTTCAATACAAAGAAACATACACAATGAATCACACAAGGTATAAAAACTAGGAAGTTCCTGGAGAAACTTTGATTTGACAGTACTGTGTTGGGGTTTGCGCTCCTCTACCACTGTCCCAAATTTCAACTCAATATGGCAAGGAAATCAATGAGTTAGTCTTTTTTTCATGTAGCTAAAGTGGCCATCTTGGATTTTGGATTTGGATTCAGTATAAGATGAACATTCTCAGCTATAACCTCATTGAGTTTTAGCTCTATGTGTTAAAAATAGCTGAGTTAAAGCCATTTAAATGTAGCTTTGGTTGCCATCTTGAATTTTTAAATTTGAATTCATTATTTAATGGGTATTGTTCTCAGGTGCCAACACATCAAATTTCAGCTGAATAGCTCTAAAAAGGGCTGAGTTACCATATATTTTCCATTATAGCTAAGGCGGCCATCTTGGATATTTGATTTGCATTAGGATTGTATAACAACTCACTCTCAGCTACAGCCATACTAAATTTCTGCTCAATATCTCAAATAATGGCTGTTATAGTCAATGTTGTGTTTGCTGAGGTAGCTATGGCAGCCATCTTGAATCAAAATGGCTCTAAATGCTAATCAGTTCTAGATACATTTAATTTTTCTGTGGGTTTCAAACAAATACAACAGTGACTTTCTACGTTTTCTCGCCACTCGAAGTCAGTACTTAATGTGAGAAGTGTTCTGCCAGGTGTTTTGTATGGGGAAAAAATGGCGTCTTCGCCATGGTAACTTGAAATGCCAATAAAAGTAAAAGCACACATCATGGCGCCGATCTGGTCTTTCTGATATAACATATGTGGAGCTACATGTTGCAGTTCAGGCCGCATTAAAGTTGACGGAAGAGTTAAGATACAAATAAAGTTAAGAAATCCTACGTCAGGTGGATAATAATATGTGGCTGCCATTCTACAGTACTGCAGAATCTGGCAGTCCCCTATAACAGAATGTAAAATATAAGAGAATATACATATAATAATATAATATACATATACAGTAAAAATAACATAGTGCCTGGACTTATAAGGACAGAGAGAGAAATGAATAAGAAATTAATTCTAGTATTTTAATTTTGACTATCTCTATTTATCGTTTTTCTGTTTTATTGTTTCTGTTTGTGCATGTGTCATTTCAAATTATTTTATTTATGAACAGCTGCTGTATTTCATTTCCTTTTGGTTGTGTGTTTTATTTATCACACTGATTTTTTTAATTTTTTTTTATTTATATAAAGTCCCAAATTTTAATTAAATCCAAATATACAACGGTAAATTTGAAGATCTGTTAAACTTGAAATCAGCTGAAGTTCAGTTTTTAAAAGTTTTTAAACTTTATTGTTTAGTAGCCTACTGTACGGTTACATAAAATATAAACAAAGTAAAGCGATATGACACGATAAATTATATTTTTTCTTCCTGAAAGCAAAATCAACACATAAAGTCACGAATAAATCAAACTATCGTTCCTCGCGTGCTGCCTTGTATGCAAAAGTTTTAAACAAATATTTGCGTGAACTGTGTGCTCAGAGTATTTGTTGAGGATGACTCTTGGTCACTACCATGCCAAGTCTTAGCTCCACATCTGTAAAAGTGAGTGGGTTATAGCCAATTTTTGTATTTAATGTTGATAAGCTGTGGTAGTCATTTTGAATTAGATTAAATACAAATGTTTTCAGTTGTAAAGGTGCATCTATTTATTACTTTCTGAGAGGGAAGTTTAAACAAGTATTTTAAAAGCGTTACTTTTGAACGCTTTTGTTTTAATTTGCGACGTCTTCTAGATGAATCCAGGCTTCCCTTGACAGGGTTTCATTAGCTTTTCAGAATAAAGTGACCTTTAAACATTATTGTTTGACATGAAGCCAGTGTGCAGTAATGCGACTGTGTGTGTTACAGTGAAAGGCGCATGGTCCTGCTGGTCACCCTGGTCTCAGTGCTCAGTGGGCTGCGGTGGCGGTCACTACCAGCGGACACGCTCCTGTAACAGCCCCCCACCTGCCAATGGAGGAGACATTTGCATAGGTCTTCACACCGAGGAGGCCTTGTGTAACACACACCCATGTGACGGTAAGGTCACATCGTTTGCCATATCACTTCTGTACTGCCTTGTTGGTCAAATTACCGTAATTTCTGGATTATAAGCCACAACTTTTTTCACACGCTTTGAACTCTGCAGCTTATACAACGGTGCAGCAAAATTATGGACTTTTTTTTGACGAGCTAACTAGCTTCATGCTGCCAAAACATTTAGCCTGAACACACCCGGGCGCTCACATAGCTGCCCAATACACGTCTCTCTTGAGGGGTGGGGCCTCATGACTACATGCGACTACCTGCAGTGTTGCCAGATAGAGTTGAGGTTTTCCAGCCCAAAAGTCTGTTAAAAACTGCCCCATCGCACAAAAACCCACCCAATCATTATATTATATTCACTGTTTGAACACACACACAATACCCCCACCTCCTGTAAAGATAAAATTGGTGTTTATATGTTCATCGATGTGATTAATAAAAATCAGTCAAATGTGAACGTTTGTTCTCATCATTCAGAAAAAAATGTCACATTTCAGGATCTGGTTATAATAGAAACATATTAAATGTTAAATATGAATATTTCTATATTTATCACTATAGTAATAATGTTGCACACATTTGTAAACACTCAAAATAATACATGTAGATTTGGTGCTTACCTTTAACCTAAACATTTAAGGAGTAAGCATTTTTAATAATCACTTTAAAAGTTATAAATGTTGTCTTTGGTGCCTGTTTGTTTTCCACATGTATTAGTGTGTGTGAATGACAGGCATCAATATAAAACACTTTGTAAAACGGTGCTGTATGAACTTCAGTCCATTTCCTTCTGTCAGTTGACCGGCCGTTCTGCCACATCCAATATGGCGGCCTCTCCGACGTACGGCTGCAACGGGTCAGCCCCCTCAATGAGGCGTCTACAAAAACTGCCTCACCAGTTCTCTGTTGTGAACGCCCTGGCAGATGGAGAAAGGTCAGGGGAGCTTTGCTATGAAATAATAATGAATGATTGTTTGAAACGTGTTTAATAGGTTAACTCAAAAACCGCCGATCTGACTCCAAATCCGCCCAAAATATCCCCACCCGCCCAAAGCAATTTTTACCCGCAAAATCAGAATGAAAACCGCCCAATCTGGCAACACTGACTACCTGTATAAATGGAGATAAATAAAATAAAATAAAATCTGACCAATGAAATTACCAATCAGGTCACAGTGGACCAATGAAAGGAGAAGGGGAGGTCCCCTCCCCGTTGTGCTCCTAGGGAGGGGGGTAATTCCTGTTTTTAAAGGCAGCTGTGTAATGGAGGACAGCACAAGCTTGCGTAGGAGGACGATGAAAATAGCGATCAACGACTTCCTGGTAGGCTACTGTATTTTTTTTAAAACCAGCCGTGTTACCGGTGTTAAGAAAAATACATTTACCGTATGTATCTGTGTATATTACTGGTACGTATTTAATTAAACATAAAAATAAAATTAATCTGTGTAAATATTTCATGTTACAGCGTGGACACCTGCGGCTAAGTGTGGCATTTATATGAACAACAGTATTGTTATTTTTTAAATTATTATTTAGTGGGCAAAGCTTATATCTGGGTGCGCTCAATAGTCAGGAAATTACGGTGGTCGTTGTTTATCTTTTCCTAATGAATAGACTTGTTCTTTGATAAATGAGCGGGAACATTTTCATGCTGAGAAAAAACTTGCCGTCCCACTGTGCTGCTATAGAGCACCGCAGTAAATTATATGAAATGCTCAAAAAACTAAACAAAAATAAATACATATATATATATATATATATATATATATATATAATTAACTAAAAACAGTTATTTTCACACAATCGTTCTTTGGTTGTAACAGATATTTTTGCTGTGTCCCAGTTCAGTTCTGTCATGAAAGCTCACTGAGGATGCCTGTTCATGCACCTACAATGTTTTGTGTGTATTTTATGTAGTTTTACTTTCCTCCAGTTCTGTTTGCAAGCTGCGTATTGGATAAAGTTTGTTGCCTTCACTGAGCTCACTGTTGAGAAAAATTGAATTTTGTTTGTGCGCTCTAAGCACAGAAAGAAAACGATTGGTTCTGCCTCACACTGCACATAGGCAGGCATCAAAATGTAATAACTGCGTGTGTGTGTGAGCGTTCACACAGCTGCAGTCACAAAAATCATAAAATTACCGTTGTTGTCAAGATCTATGAAGAATCAGTGTTCCCCTTTTCTTATCAGTAAACCTTGATGGCATTGTTCCAGACTGATGTTGATAAGTTAAAATGAGATCCATCCATCTTCTGCCACTTATTTGTGGTGGAGTCACGGTGGAAACGGGTCCAAGCAAATTAAAACTTGAGCCAGAAACACGACAGAGCAGACTCGACTTTCAGCGTTAGCTTCCATTTAATTTATTTAATTTAAAGTAACGGACTTATCGTTGAGACGGAAATGCCACGACGACCTGTAGGACAGAGGAACTGAACTCTGAGGAAAGAAAGGAGGGGAGTTTGTGTGCAGGTAATCAAAAGTTTTGGAGTAAAATGCATTTTATTCTAATGTTTCGTAATTTGGTCAATTTATTATATATTGATGCTCTTGGTAAATATGTTTGGGGTACATTCGTTTTGTTGAGACTTTTTTTTTTAAAGTTTAGTTGTGTTGTTTGGGTTTCTTGTTTTGGCGTTCATTCTCATTACACGAGGGTCAGGTCTCTCTTGTAAATGAGTCCCCGAGGCTCAATGGGATTAACCTGTATAAATAGAGGTTGAATGAAAAAATAAACCTGTGATGCAGCAGCATATTATAATTATTCCATGTTTCTGTGTGCTATTGATGGTTTATGTAGCTGTGACGTCATAATGACAGTACTCAGAGGTAGATACATCCAGGCAGGACACCACTGAAGGCTCAGGTGTAAAATTCCCCGCCCGCCACTCGATTGAAAGTTCCCACTTTTACTTGTTGTTGACAATTGGAGCCATCAAGACCCAATTTAGGGAAGCCATTATATTGTATCAGAACCAGCTTCTACGTGCAAGCAATGCAAGGTTTTAAACTCAAAATATGGAAGACATATTTACGGTGCCCAGTTTTACTAAATGCCAGTGGGTGGTTCTCAAATCCCTTTTGTGTTCTGCAAAGGCTTGTGGTCTCATTGCTTGAAATTTAAACACATTTTTTTATTTAAATAGTTGCAAAGTTGCCACAGGTGTTTCAAACCTGTCCTGAATCTTTCTCACTTTAATTTCAATAATTCTGGAGCTGTGTGTTGATGTTTAGCTTCCATGACAGAAAACATCAAAGTCCTGAATGTCCAGGTCATAAAACCATTCTGCATGGATGATAAGTATTATTTATTTAAAATCTGGTCCAAATTTTGCTGTCAAGGTGGGTACAAAATGGACCAAGGCGGGTACAATGTGGACAGAGATGGAAAATAAAATAATGTGTGATGCCTACAATGATGTTATGCAAGCCGTGCATGCAAAATTAGGTTGTTTTAAAAAATGGTCATATCACTCTCTGTTTGGATTACGAACACCCAGAAATCTGTAAGACTACAACTGAGGCTTTTCTCGTTTTCTTAAAATGTTACCGACCATTTTCAGTTGCCAACTCGTCTCCGGTAGTCACGGCACAGTGAGATGTGGTTTGCAATTCCTGCAGATTGCCTGAATTAAAAGGCTGTTTTCTACTGAGCTGTCCCCTCTTTTCATTTTGAATCACTCACTCTGTCATTCACAGAGCAACATATACAGTCAGCCTCTCTGGTAATTACAAAAGGCACTTAATGGCTTTGTGCCCCCCCCCCAATCCCCACCCCCCCCCCCCCCCATCTCCCCACACCAGACATTAATCATCCTTCTCTAAATCAAGTTAATGTTTTCCTGTTTGACGCGAACCAACACATCCGGTTAACCCTGCATCAGTCCCAAGCTGTCTCCTTGTCTGTTCGGATATTGATGTGCACGACATTAATGATCTATCGGGGTCCTCTTGGTGCAAACCCTTCTTTGCATGTGTAATTAGAGGCAGTCTGGCTGTCAATCACAGCGAAATATGACGCTTCTGTTGGAGGTCATTTGATTAACGTCTCGTCCTGTACCGGGGGATGAGAAAGTAGGTTAACTGGATGACAAAAATGAAGGCAATCAAAGAGGGCTGTTGTGATACAAGAGCGTTGAAACGTTTGAGTTTGTTCGTTTAGACGTTCACGCAGAAAGAAGGGAACAGACGTTGGAGACAAAACAGCTGCTTGGAGATCTTGGTGATCTTGGAACAGATATGAAAGGTAACGGGGGCCCGTCGTCTTCCTTCGCCGAGCTCCTCTCTGCCAAAATCTGCACGCTTGAGATCACGCCGAGTAACAAACCGGCTCTTTTCTTTAGACTTTCGGTGCAGTGCTGTGCACTCCCTCCACTCCAGTGGTCTTGAATGTGGGCTGGAGGAGTGCAGAGAGTGTCTAGTTCAAAAGAAGGAGCTGAGAGTTGGATTTCCTTTCTTCCTCTGGGGTAGGAGCTTTTGTTGACTGCCTGGTAGCCTGCTGCGAGGAAACGGTCCAAAAGCCTGGCTCGGGAGACAAATATCTCAGCTATGCACTAAACAAACTTTTTGGGTTTGCTTTTGCAATCTTGTTGACATCACAAATGCTTCTTGGTGTGTTTGGACTGCTTGGCTGGCCAGTGAGGTTACTGGGGCAGGTGGCAACAGCTTGGGTGGGCATGACTGTTTCCAGGTCCTTCTCAGCTTAACGTGGTGCCTGTGGTTGGATGAGTTTGTTTGATTTGTCTACTTTTTCTATTCAGGTGGCTGGATGGCCTGGTCTCTGTGGTCCACCTGTGATGACTCAGGCTTCCAAACGAGGAGTCGGGTTTGCGGCGCTCAGGGCAGCAGCCCCTGTGTGGGGAACGCCACTCAGCGCAGAGACTGCAATGAAATACCTGGTGAGTTGGTCAGCTTTCCGACGCACCACTCAGCCCCCTTCGGTGCTGTTATAAAAGAATGAGATTGGCTGTTCAGAGGCAGAATGAGGGAAAGCTCTCTTGTACAATTCTTTCTGTGTCCCTGAATGTTACAAAACGCTCTGCAAGCTTTTATCTTGATTTGATTTCCACTTTTGTCGCCAAAAACTGAATGAGGAAAATCACAAGCAAGGATTTTCACAGGAGTGCTCAAATGCTTTCTGTTCCTGGGGTTAAGATGTTTGTTGTTGCAGAATGAGCCACATTTTCTCTATTTCAAGTTGTTGGCAAAACGGGAGTAGAGTGATTCACATTTGTAATAAATAATGAATACATTTGCAATAATATGATTTTATTCAATTCCCAAGTCAAAATATTTAAGATTTTTTAATCAGCAGACTTGGTATACTCTACAAATATCTCAAGATAATTTGACAAAACTTCATGCACATTTGCGTCATCATCAGGCGGAGTGTCGTCATCACCCCAGCTCCAAGGTTAAGGTCACAAATCAAGGTCAAAGTTAAAACGAGATTTTTGCAGCCTGTAACTTCTGATCTGCTCAGTAATATTTAATGAAACTTGACGCACACATGCATCATCACTAGACGGAGTGTCACGTACACTTCTCATCTCCCCAGCTTCAAGAGGTGATGAGAAGTTGCATTTTTCCCAACCCTAGATCTGAGGTCAAGGTTAGAAATCAAGGTCAAAGATTATACAAGGTCTTTGCTTGTCCAGGCCATTGCTACAGTTCGCTGTATTACGTTATAATAGTTTGTCGATGGGTGCATAATGTGCCATATGGTTCTATTTACTAAAATTAATTCAGGCCAAAGAGGCAGATTCAAGCAGAGACTGGTATTTTGTCATTCTAATGATTGTTGATTATTATCTGAGACTTTGTATAGGAGTGGAGCAACAGAAAAGAATAAATAAATAAATTTTAGTGTTCAGTATCTGTAATGAGAAAATAAGATTTGATGACCTGTTTTCACTAGAATGGCAGTTTTATCACGTTGAGTTCGTGTCCGATCACATTCTGATGCCACGTCCCACTGCCCTCTCTCCCAGAGGACATGCAGTTCTGACAGTTGAGATTGTCCTAATTCATGGGATTTTCTGCTCTGCATTTTCTTTATAATAAATTGGCGTTGTTGGTAGGACTTCTATAAGAGTTTGATGTTAGTCTTTGTGTAGGGGAATTTTTGGATGTTTTTAACTAATATGGCTGAGAATGCTAACTCTGCCCATGAACCATATGTTTGGGTCAGTAACATTGGCATCAGAAGTATCTGTAATGTGGGGGACACGCACACTGGTGTGGGGGTGGACGGTGGTTCTTCCCCCAGATAATTTTAAATAAAGCAGATGCCATTTCCTGCATTCTGCTGTATTTTAACAGGTTGTTAAACATCTACATTCACCTACACTTGTAAACACTTGATTCAATAACTGTTTTAGAGGACACAACACAACAAGAAGTAGCCTGACCAACAGCTCTCCTTGTGTGACTAGAGCTTGCACCGCTTCTTTCAAGCATCCTAGCCTCCACCCCCGTCAACAACTGCCAACATTAACGGTGCTAAACTAGCATGCAAAACAGAGGTATCTTCCTCTCCTCCCCCCATGAGCGCCCTGCCAAGGCGGATGACCTCGGGGAAACACTGTGTGGTGTGGAGTTGTTGGAGTTAACCAGGAAAACCCGGAGTGGATTTTTAGTGGTTTGAGTATTCTTCTATTAATCAAGTGGAATGGATTTGTTCATGAAGAAATAGAAACAGCGCTGGGTGAACTAATATTTCTTGGTAAATGTGGGGGGTTCCGATTGCATATTTTTTCAATGCAGGGGCGACAGGTCCCCTTCACATATAATTGTTGCGATACCTATGGTTAGTAGAAAGCTGGATGAGGAGCTGGGTGAGGCTGCTCCGTGCAGCTGTTGCTCCAAGGACGCCTCAGGTTTCTGAGCTCGGCTGAACTGATGTGAGTGTAAAAACAAGCTGCACACACGGCTCGTGGCAGATTCTTGTGACTGGGCTTCACGCGTGTACTTCCTGTATACCTGAGTAACCTGTCCTGAAAATCTGTCCTTGCAAGTAAGTACCGGTTAAAAATCTTCTCCTGTCGTCGAGTGTGGCTCCTTTTGAGTAAGTGAGATAAAACGAAATACTTTTCTCCAATATTTAGTAGAGTACTGGGCGGCGGGCGGCCCTATTGTTTTTTCTGAGTTTTGGTTCCTTTTTAAAATTATTATTAATAATACCAGAATTTGTATCTAAAAAAAGTTAAGTCAGATCCTCTGGACGGGTTCAAAAAACAAAAAAACAATTGTAGAAATGTTTCGTCTTTCATCCGAAAGACTTCTTCAGTCTGAGGAGCTGTGTTCAGCTTGAACCCATCCAGAGGACCAGACTTAACTTTTTTTAGATTTTTCTACCTGGATTATTGAGCATGCTTCAGGATACCAGAATGTGTAGAAACAAATGTTAAATCTTATCAAAATTGTACTATAAGATCAAAAGAACTATTGCTTTTTTTCATCTTGTTCAGCTTCACAATGATCAATTTAAAAGCTTGGTCTCTTAACCCACAGTGTCTGTCATTCCCAAACATGTCACAGTTGCTCAGGTTTATCACTATCATCCTCACAATCATAAACACAAGCACATATACGTGTGTGCCAGACTCATCTGTATCTGTTATCAACTCCTAATTAAATCCATGTGAAGTGAATGTCAGCCGTTCGTTGTGTCGGCCCTTGGTGCACCAGGTTGTGCTGATGTGAATCTCAGAAAGTTTCTCCTGGAATGATCTCTCATGACCTGCCAGTATGAGCCACTCCAGCCTCAGAATCCCTAACGAGTCAAAGACGATTAATATTAATGAGATGTCGCCTCAACAAATCACATCTAATTTTCTCGCCAACTTCAACGAAGCGATGGATGGATTTGTTGAAGTCTGCAGAGGGGAGGCAGCTCTAAGGATGGCAAGAGCTATAAAGAATTAGCAAACAAAATTAATCGGGAACTGTGGCATTACAATTTAAAGTGTTGACGCACACACAGGCACGTGCACACGTTTGAACCCTTTGCATTTTGCAACCGAAGCGAGGAGCAGAGAAACCAGACGTTTGTACATGTAAATTAGTTTGTCCTTTTTTATGACTGCTGGTCTGATGGAGCAAAACATGGAGGAATTTTCGCTCAACTGTTCATATTTTTGTTGAAACTTGTTTCAGTAATTTAATAAATTAGAAATGATATCTGGGGACCATCATTCCAGTATCTCATTGACTGTTTTTGTTTCTGCATGTGTCGACTCCCCTGATGTCTCAGTTGGTCGCTGTGTCTCCAGAGGAGGGCGGCAGGGGATGTTGTGTGCACGTACAGTATATGTCTGTGTGTGTGTGTGTGCGTGCATGCATGTGTGTGTCTGACTTGTGTTCCTCTCCTCTCTGCAGTCATTCTCCCTGCATCTGGTTTTGATAAGGACCAGCAGTGTGGAGGTAAGTGGATTAACAGCTGCCTGAGCTTCGCCTGTCTGCACGTTGCCGTTTGTTTTGTCCCTGTGTGTTTCCACAGATGTCAGGAACACAAAGTCTGTTTTCATGCATTAAATGTGCATTTCCACGTTTGTTATTTCACTCTGTGCACAATTTCAACAACTGGTTAGAAAGAGGAAGAAGATGCTTTTTGTTTTATGTACTGCAGACATTGTTAAAAGGGAAACGAGTCCATTTTGCTGTTTGAGGAGCTGCAACAAACTCAGTCTTATAATTATCAACTTCTCATAGTGGATCAACCAGTTTGCCGGTGACAAACACAACTATCTGTTCACATGATAAAGAAGGACCATCAGCCTAACAGTGGATCGTTAGTGCCCTGAGTTTATTGAAGCTCCTCAGACTGAAGAAGTCTTTTGGATAAAAGTCGAAACGTTTCAACGAGAAGAATCCATCCAGAGGACCTGACTCAACCAATTACAACGCTCAAAACCAGTTTCCGTCAGTGCACCCAAATATTAAGAGCTCAAAATCAATAAGGTCAAAAATATTCTGTCCAACCAACAACCATTCTTCCATCTTTTGGAAATCCCCCTGGACTCATTGAACGACGTGATCTGTGTAGAGTGACTCAAGTTCAGCAGAGTAAATGTACCGAGCTGTGAAATATTTTAAACATGATTAAATATTGACTGAGTCTTTACAAATAATCCGTGTCTTCTTTATTTTCCAGCATTCACCTCCATCCACCTAATTGCTACCGGCGTTTCCTGTTTCCTCGGGGCGGGGCTGCTGTCCTTCCTAGTTTACGTGTACTGTCAACGTTTCCACAAGCCCTCGCAAGAGTCCGCCATCATCCATCCCACCACCCCCAACCACCTCAACTACAAGGGCAACACCACACCAAAGAACGAGAAGTACACACCCATGGAGTTTAAGGTACGTCTTCCACAAAAGAAGAGAAGTATTTTTAACTCTGTGTAAAATTAATCACAAAGATCTGTTGGCTTGATGTTGCTCAAGTGGTCCAGCATTACGTCTTAAAGTAATAGTTAAACTTCTGAACTGGGGTTCTGTGGAATCGATAAATTTTACCAATAGTTAACCTAAGATTAGTCTTCCTATGCCTAACCATATTGAAAACCTATAAAGGCCTAAATTTCAACCGTCTTAAAACAACTTAAAACTTAAGTCTCAAAATGTTCATAGTGGTTCATTCAAACGCTGTTTTCAAACTTTTACGTTGTTTTAAACGAAATGGTCATTTCCACTGAAAAAAGTGGTGTGGGGTCAGGTTATTTTTGGATCAGCAGAAAACTGATCAATGCTGGAGGTTTCTGCTTGAACTGTTTCTGTGTTTATGGAGGGCAGCGAAGCCCCAACAGTCGCTCCGCCTTTCTCACCACGCTTTGCCGTCTTCCTGTCAGTCAGACTGCAGGTGTACCAAGATGTGATCCCTGTGGGCAGAATTTACTGCCTGTGACTGAACATTGGTGGATTTTATACCTGGATTATTGAGCATGGGCTTTGGTGTCCTTATTTAAATTTAACCAACAAAGTCCATGCTCAATAATCCAGTTATACAATCCAACAATTTTCAATCAGGTCAACTGGATAGTTTCTTTTTTTTTTTTGTGCTGAAACGTTTCACCTTCCATCCAGAAGGCTTCATCAGTCAAGGAAACACAACAAAACTGATTCTTCCCCCAAACAGCTTACTCCACAAACCAGTTTTTTTTAAATATATTAACCTTTTTATTGAGAAAGCACACGTTATATTAAAATAACATAATTATATTACATTACTCTTGCTTTCCTGTTTTAATTATTTTTTTCCCTAAACACAACAAACAAAAACTTGAGTGGGGGTGGCGGGGTAGCCAAAATACAATCACTTCATTGATACTGCTAATCAAATTACTGCACCAACCTATGTGACAGCAAGATGTATAGAAAATCAGACCTAACAGGCTTGACGTATTCCGTCCACTTTGACCAGATTTTATAGAAAGTGTCTCAGAAAATGAAAATGACAGTTTTTCCAGAGTATAGATCTCTTTCACAACATCAGACCAGTCTTCAGTTCTTGGTGGTTCAGCTTTGAGCCATCTCCTTGTGAGGGCCTTTTTACTCGCAGCCAATAAAATGTATAAAACAAATTTATCATTAAAATTCACATCGTCCACCGATATGTTACATAAAAATATGCTTTCAAAAGTTTAAGGAAAATCAGATGAGAAAACATTCTGCAAGTGTTCGTGGATCTGGGACCAGTGTTGCTGAATGGCTTGACAATCCCAAAAAATATGTAAATTGGCACCTTCTCCCTCACATCTCCAACAAGTACAACAGTTTATTTACTCCAAAGTGGAACAAACCAGTTATGTTGGTGCTAAGATGGTGTCTTTGGCACGCCCCCTCCTCCGGTGCCGGCCCTCTTCCTCGTCGACAGTCATATCAAATTGGTTCAAAACCAACAAAGTCCATGCTCAATAATCCAGTTATACAAGCCAACAATTTTCAATCAGGTCATCTGGACAGTTTCTTTTTTTTTTTGTGCTGAAACGTTTCACCTTCCATCCAGAAGGCTTCATCAGTCAGTTAAATTTATTTCATTTCTGAGTGTTGGCCACATCAGACTGAGAAGCCCGTTCAGGTTTTGTGGAGGCGGTTTCAGTCTTGGATTAGCTCAGCTAGACAAGTTGTGACTTGATGTGTCTGGACTGACTCTATTCAGATGATCAGATCAGATCTGAATGAATTCAGATGATCAGATCTACTGAACGATATCAGCAGATTATTCTACTTCCCTGAAGGCACAGACTCATCCCAGTGTGTCAGTGCTAAAATTAATTTAGCTGAAATAGTAAAAGAGTGTTTCTGGGAGTAAGAAGCATCATTTCTACACATGAACTGGTCTCCTCAGAGGTCAAATCTTAGCAACAAGTGGACACTTTGGAATAAACTGGAATGCTGTGACATTTAATAAACTTCTCATGAATGTACTCTGTTATAAAATCCAGTGCTTTTATCATCAATAAGAATCTTGTGCCTACGTATTGTGTTCACACTGAGTATCCATTTTAAAAACTCCAGTATCGTTCACATAATTGGAATTGTGTTTAATTATACGTCGGATGGTGCTCATCGGTGTGATGCAGTTATAGAAAGACTTCAGTCAGGTTGAAGCAAATTGTATTTAAGTATCCGTGTGTTGACCTGTAAAATACAAGCAGTAAAGCACACCAACCCATAAACACATGAGGTGTCTGACGCTGCGTTTACAAATTCATCTTAACTTTGGCCATCAGCCCCAGCATGCCAGTAAAAGGGTTCGCCCAAATTATATTCCCATTTTGCACGTTTTGACTGTCGCAGCCTCCTGATACCTCATGCTTATTGTTGTGGTTCAGTGGACGCGGTGTTGACAACCACCGTGGTGCTGAGAGCCTGAACTCGTTAGCTTTAATGACCACAGGGGGTGGCCAGAATCTGCAGGATGTGCTGCTGTAATGCAACAGCACTTTTGTGCAATAGGTTCCCCACTCTCCAGGCCAATTTATGTTGCCCCGCTTGTGTATTTCACCAACTCTAACCTGATTATCTTCCTGCCTGCTTCCTCCGAGCTGCTCAGATGCATTACATTAGTCTAATGCTTCCTCTAGAAAGTGTTGTACTCCATGGTTGGCTTTTACCAGACACTTTGCAATAGCATTAAATAAAATGTGGGGTTTGGACTGGTTTTTCTTCAGGACAGCTACAGGTAAGTCCTTTCATCCCACATTAGATTATTGGGCATTATTTACAAGAGTCAAATTAAATTAGCTACTTTGGTGTGTATTGGTTTTAAATACTCCTTCCCAATCCAGCCTCGGTCTCAGGGTGTTTTGAGTTTCAACAACTGGATGGCACAACTTTGCTTGACGATCTAAATTTCTCTAATTTATCTTTATATTGCTCCATGTTTCCAGATGTTTGGATCTTTTTTTACAGGAAGAGCTTTGCACTTGAACCAATTCAGTATAGACTGATTAGTTCATTAGGATGATTTTTGCAGTTTTTTTAATAACGGGCATTAGCCACACTATTATACTAAGGCACACATGTCAAAATCAAGGCCCTAGGACCAAATAGGGCCTTGATAGCATCTTGTTTGGCCCCAAAATGATGTTTTAAACATAAAAAACTTTTATCGCTTCTCATTGAGCTTACAAACCGGGCAGACCTTATTTATTATAAACTTCTCATGTCACTTTGATGGCCAACAAAAATGTTTCAGTATTCAGTTTTTCAGGCATCTTTGATTTTGCTGTGGAAAGAGCAACAGAAAACATCAAACGAGACTGATCAAACTCTTGTTGAGGAAACTGCGACCAAGAAAAGTGGTCAGGTACAGTGTCTGAGTCTGAAATCAGCCCTTGGTTTGAAACTAGTTTTAATTTTGAGCCCATTTTGTAACTGTTTGACACCCCCTGCACAATGTGGTCGTTGCACTACGTTCTTTCTACGATCTTGTCACAATCCCAGTCATAGCCAAGACTTGAGGCCAGCCAAGCTACACCAGTGCACGTGGACCAAGATTTCCACTGGCTCACAACCTTCCTGGACTTATTACACTTTAACATAGAGAACCCCCAAGATCTCCACAAGACCTTGTAAAAACCATCCATGTTCTGTCTGATTTTTTGATTTTGTAGCAATGTCATCATCCAGTGTGAGGAGGATCTATAAAAACCTGGTTCCAGTCTGGGGGTTTAACCAAAGCCTTTTGTTGATGGTATTACCTCTGGTGTCTCAGGTAGTTTCATGTGTTGCAGATATGATATGTCTAATAGCATCAATGGGTTTTGACAAAGAATATTTCATCACACCCTGCTGTAAGCGTTGGTTCGCAATGTTTCTTTTCCATATTTTGGTGAATTATAGTAACTTTTATTGGGTGGTAGTGGTAGCACAGAGGTTAGAGAAGGTGAGCCTGTGATCCGGAGGTCAACGGTTCAAATTCCCTGACCATAACATCAAAATGTGGGTGGGATAAGGTGAAGCACCCACACCTGCCTTCACCCAGGCCCTTGAGCAAGGTTCTTGTCTGGGTTCTGAGTTAAAATAGCAGTAAAAGTTGTTTTCCCCAGTTCATTTTAAAACAATATATAAATTCCTCTTTTTCTCAAGAAAACACACTTTTCTCAGTTTTTAAGGTTTGATCCATGTACCGTCTAAAATAACTCAATAAGTAATGTGTTGCATCAAACACATATTATTTTAGAGAGAAGTGGTTTTTGATTATTTCTTCTCTACTTTGCCATTCCAGACACTGAACAAAAACAACCTGCTTCCAGACGAAAGATCCAACTTCTACCCGACGCCGCTCCAGCAGACAAACGTCTACACCACTACCTATTATCCTACGCCACTTGGCAAATTCGACTACCAGCCCAACTCCTCCCCATCACCGTGCAGGACCTACAACAACAGCAACAGCAGCTGAGACCGTGTCCACAAGCATCGCCCCGCTCCTGCCACAAACAAACTGCACTCCAGTACCATGGAGACCAAACTGGACCAACATGAACTGAGATGTTCTTCAGTGTTTGGCAAAGTTTCTCTGCTCACCATCACCTCCCTGCTTCCATAGTCTCTTCTGCATGATGAGGTTTGTGATTCCAAGGATAACTTTTTGGGAACTTTCCATAAAGAAATGGATCTGAACAACAAAGCTGGTGTCCTGGAGAAGCTGTACAACCAGCTGGGGGGGTGTTTGTATCGGATTGTACCCGGACATATCTATGTCGAGTCATGTGGAGAACAAAGGGAGGAAAACGAAGCAAGTTCTTGCATTGGGGGGGATTGTTGTAATCACTTTTGCAACAGTGGTGGGTTCATCACGTCAAGTTGCAAAGACAAACGTGAACACAAACTAAAGGAAAATGTAATCCAAGCCACCATTTTATGCCTTTCCATTACAAACCACATTCTTATCCGGCAATGAACTCGAGTCTCTCAACGGCAAAAGCAGTTCCGGAGAACAAAGTGTGCACGTGCTCGTGTCCTTGCCACGCAGCACAGAGCAAGGGAACAACAACAAAAGAGGAAACTCAATGAAGTCGATGATGAAATAAATTACAGATCAATATCAGCTCAGCTGTTCGGGGGAAGCGCTCCCTCCATTGTCGTTACTTCACATGACAGAAAAGATAAGAACTTGAAAGTTGATTGAGTTTTTTTTTTTTTTTTTTTTTTAGTAGAGCTGTTTGAGAAAAGTCCCAATAAGCAACATCACCCTCAGCTGGAGAGATGCGTGAACTAAATCTGCTTTGGATCCAAGTCCTGAGCCTTTTGGATGAGAAGGACACGCTCGTGAGGTCAAAGCCGGGAATGTGGGGAACGTTCGGAGTTGGAAGAACATTGGGAATGCCATGGGTGCCTGTATGCAATAGATGACAGGAGCGATATTTGTTCCCATTTCTGTATATTTTTCTGTTTCTTTTTATCCAAGAACAATAAAGACTTAAAGGGAATTGATTGATTCTCCAATTGATTCTCCATCGAATGAATGCAATTCTGCTGATTGCGTAATAGCTCAGTGGTCATATCAAATATGGCCAGTGTGCTGAGGAACTGGTTGATCTAACACGGCTGAGTCGGGTCCTCTGGACGGGCTCTTTGTTGAAATGTTTCGATGGTTGAAACGATGGTTTGGGTTTTCTATAATGGTAGAATAAGCTGGTAGACTGGCACTTGTTCTTTTCCTTCTTTTGTAATGTTTGTTTTTAAAGACCGTAGTTTTATGTTCCGATGAGCTGTAGCATAGAAGAAAATATTTTGTCAAAAAAAAAAGTGAAGCTGATTAATTCCCGTTTTCCTAATTTTGCTTCATCAAATGAGCTTAAGTCTAGGTTTTGATTGTTAATAACCACTTAGCATCGTCATTCCATGAAATGTTGCAAGAATAAAACAATTATTTTAGTGTTTCTTCATTTTTTTGTGCACATTCTGACAGAAGAACCCTTTTGCGCTAAAAAAAAAAATCAGATATGGTTGCTTCATAGTTGGTCGAATGCATGTGTGTGGTTGTGTGTGCAAGCAAACGAGTGTTTGTGTGGCAGAATTAAAAGGACAGCTGTATTCTGTAAAATGTAAATGCTTTTTGTGTGTGTGTATTTTTTTTCCAGATTCTCTCACACAGTTTTCTACTGGTTTCTACAAGTTTCATTGTCAGTGACGGCGTTGCACCTCTGGCTCTTGCAACGATGAAATGTACATTATTTATAGTCACAGCTTGGTTCATAAAGGGCATTTTCACTGTTATATTATTATTATTTTTATTATTATGCCTGATAAATGAATGCTAACCCAGCAAGGCTTTTCAGTTCAGCTAATGTACATGCACGAAATGTCTGTATATAGGGAGCAACAGCCCATTTAATGTCCCTCAAGAGGATTGTGTAAATGAATATGTATAGCTAACACTGTTTGCTTTTTACAAAGACAAAGTTAAAATGAAAAAAGTCTTATAGTTGTTTAAAAAAAAGTGCAGCAGCTAAGTACACAGCAAACCAGGAGGTTTGTTTGGGGGACAGAGCTTCACGATGTGACCGACCGCCTGTGGCTTCTGACCTTTCCCAGCTGCTCAAACATCCCGTTTCCAAAATATCTCACCGTAGCAACAAATATGATACACTGAGAATAATCACACAGCAGCTGAGTGGGATCCAGATTAATTCAACTTGGACTGGTCCGGTCTGAGAGCCACACGTGTGCTTGGTAACGATGAGCTCTGCCCCCTGTGGTGTGAGGCTCTGTGCCCTTCTATGCAACTTACCAGGTGTACTGTTAGACCTGTCATAGACGATGTTCACTGCCTTTTAGACACTGTGAATCTTTTTCTACCCTATATTTTTGTATATTGTACAATATTAAGGACAATAAACCTTGATGCCAACACAAACTGATATCCAGATGGCTGCATCGGAGTTATGGTTTTAATCCTGTGGGGGCTAAGATGAAGGATTTTCTTAATTGAAGGGTTCAATACAGTTCTTGTCTGCACACCTCTATCAAGAGCTGAACAAAACTTAAGCTATTGTTCCTTTTTCCACAAGGAAGAAATCTTTTCATGAATAAATACATTTAACGTACCTGTTCTAATTTAGGTGGGAAAGTCCCGGATTTTGTCCTCCCCTGTCCCGCATCCTGCACAAGGAGGGGTGGGACGCCCAAATGTCTCACATTTGACCAGTGCTGGGATTACAGCCTAAAGTGGAACTGAGATTTGAACTAAACTGAGGTTTTCTGCTGCGTTTGCACTTCCTGTCCACACACGCACACATTTTGTTGAGAAAAAACGTTATTTTTATATAAACTCTGTTTTCAGACACAGAACTTTCCTGAAACAGTGGAAGAGTTTATTTCACACCTGTATTACTTAGAAACACAAACAAATATGGAGCTGTTTTACCCTTTTTATTTTTCTTTCCAACTTTATTTTTCATTTTGATTGTGGGCTGAAAAATTATATATATATATATATATATATATATATATATATATATATATTGCCTGAGAGGAAACTATAAACAGTATTATCAAAATGATTATTGGCAGAATCTACAGGTAAACATGTACTGATGTACTGGTAATGGTAATGTGGATGTTGTTGCGGGCATGGCACGGTGGCTCAGTTGGTAGAGCTGTTGCTTCTCAGTGAGAAGGTTGCCGGTTCGACTCTGGCAGGGACCTTTCTGGGTGGAGTTTGCATGTTCTTTCCGTGCATGTGCAGGTTTCTCTGGGTGCTCCAGTTTCCTCTCACATGGATGGATGTTATTGTCACTTAGTGGCATGGGAGGAGTATTTCAGCATTTTTTGTACGAACATGGGACAAAGAAAGAGAAAAATGAAAAGGGTTAAATCCATCCATCCATTACCTTTACCCATTTCTTCCTTTTCGGGTCACGAGGGTCACTGGTGGCCAAATCCACAGTCACTGTGCGAGAGGCAGGGGACGTCCTGGACAGGTCTCAAATCCATCGCTGAGACAAACGAGACAAACAACCATTCTGTCTCTCACCTAGGGACAATTTAGAGTTACCAATCAGACTAACATGCATGTTTTTGGTCTGTGGGAGGAAACTGGAGTACCTGGAGAAAACCCACGCATGCACGGAGAGAACATGCAAATTCCACCCAGAAAGGTCCCTGGCAGGGAATCGATCCAGCGACCTTCTCAGTGAGAGCAACAGCTCTACCAACTGAGCCACCGTGCTACCCAAAAGGGTTAAATAAAAATAAATAAATAAAACCATTAGTGATCTTGCGACCTGTCCAGGGTGTACCCCGCCCCTCGCACAGTGATTGCTGGACATGGGCACCGGCGACCCCCGCGACCCAAAATGGAAGAAGCGGGTAAAAGATAATGGATGGATGGAAACATTAGTGATGTAGACAGAGCCCAAACTGCATTTCTTTGATCTTGGCTTTTAAAAATGACATCTTTAATACGTAATATATTTTTTTATTTTTCCAGACAACCCCACTTCAAAATGACTAAAATATTCCTGTAAATTTTAAAAATGTCTGAGTATTTTGCTTTACACACAATTACTTGAGCTAATGCAATTATAAGAGAGTCATTATGAAACATAATATATAATAGACAACCCACTCTCCTCTGTGCTTGTAATTGAAAAAATCTAATTCATTCCTTTTTTCTGTATTTATTATTCATAGATGAAAGGAAAATCATTAAATCCACGTGGCCTTAGTTAAGGCGGCATGGTGTGATGAATATGAAACGGACAGTAAAAAATGTGAGTTCTTTCTTCATCACTCCAAGAAACCAAATCCTCGGTAATCTAACCGTTTCCAAACGTTCGCTGTGATTACTGTTACGCACTCCAGCACTTTACGATGAGACAAACACGATGTGAGGGAAAAGCATCCGGGTTTTTTTTTTTTTCAAGAACTAAGACATTTGTTGAAGAATAAATAAATGTATCGCTGCAAACCTCCAAGTAACGATGCTAAGGTTAGAAAAGAAGCGTGTTCCATTATAAGGAGGTAACTACGACATTAATGAAGCCCAGCATGGGAGCCAACTGCTAACCACACCAATCAGTATATCAAATTTGTTTTCTCACAAACCCAGCATGAATTTTCCAACAGCCGCCCAACCATTACAACTTTACCATTATGACCTGGTTAGTTTCTATTACTTCACCAATTTATGATTTCCTATCTGTTTAAAAATAACCGTTCCTTTTTTAATTTCTACTTTTGCTGTTGTGGACATAGCGGTCACTGGCCAACGGGGGAGTTGGTAGTTTAATCCCGGCCTTTGATTTGCAAATAAATTTGTGAATGGATAAATGGTGCTACAGTACAGGTGACTCAGAAATTAGGGTTTGAATGAGATAAATGACTTTAGGCTTTATTCAATACAAGCCTTTTTTTTTTTTAGCCTTTTTGGAGAGTTTGTGGAAATTATAAGTGAGTAAAAAAAATGTTTTTCATA